TGGAACACTTCGGCAGACTCATCCTCAGAATCCCCTGAGTCCTCCGAATCCTCCGCTTCTCCAGAACCGACTCCATCCGAAGCTACGAGGATTTCGGAGTCGAGGGCTAGTGCATTTCGCCCGTAGATGACTTTCCAGGCAACTTAGTCGATCCCGTGAGCGAAACACCTCTGCTGTCGGAGCCCCATGAGATCGACTGCCTTCAGAACGTTGCCGGCCGCTGCGATCACGTAGATCATTCGACGACAAGCAAAAGCTGTGGAGCCGCGAGCTCACGATACTCTCCAAGTACTCCCCGGTGGCTCTGTCATCGACTCTGACTAGCCCGAGTGCTGCGATTTTGGAACTGCCAAGGATCGGAGCACTGTGATGCACAGTGAGTCTCAAGCAAGGATCTGTACCAACTACCGAGGTTCCGTCGAAAGCGATGCAAAATTTTACGCCTGTGCAAAACGTGATAATTGATGGGAAAAAATCTAATCGATGCTGATTTGGGAGTCAGAGAGAATAGAGCCTCTACATCGGAGTCGAACCTTTGGCGCAGAAAATGATACGAAGTTTCTCTCTGACAATCTCAGCATCTTCTCGTAAGTGCCGCCTGATTGTATTCCCAGACTTCGAGGGCGGTGGAACCGTCCTATCGCCTCCCGCTGGAATCCAGCGGTATCTACCCTGCGAATCCAGAACCGCTGGAACCGCTGCAAAGCCTAGTCAATTCTCGGTCGCCTGAGAGCCGCCGCGGCAACGATTTCGAAGGCTCGCAGAGCACTCTCGCTCGGGACAACTGTGATCGTCTTCAAAGCCTTGTTCGAGTCGCATCTGCGATACTGTCTCCTCGTCTACGGACCGGCATTCTAGAACTCGCCCACCCCCTTGGAATCACTGCTGAACCAGGTCATTCCCCGCATGTACAGAGTTGGGGAGAGAGGATCTGCTGAACCACTAATCCAAAAAGCCGGCATCTCGCCGATTAAAAGCTCCTACCTACAAACTCACCGAATCTCTCATCAGTAATCCATATCGCTCTGAAGAAATGACCGAAAACCTAGTGTGAGGACCTTATTCTGGGTATCACTGGTGTCACGATGGTACGGTGTAGGTCAGTAGTTTTCTATTGGGACCCCACCGTTCATCTCCTACACATCTCGAGGCATTCGCTTTCTACATCCCTCTCTCTATCACTTGCACGTTTTCCGGTTTGCCAACTCGAACAACCGATAGACTCCTCCGTGTACCGTCGTCAGCGCCATCGGGCGGCTTCGGCGTGCGGGATGGGATCGCCACCTGACATTCGGCCACGCTCGGCTCTGGACCCCTAGCCAGTAAATTTTCGGCTCAGCTCATGTATCACATAATGCGTGTCTGTCGAAAATTCGGCTAGGCCTCTTCTATGCATTGGGTCTGACTGTAAGGCTAACTACTAGGGCTTCCAGCGGTTCCTACCCGAGGTTCTGGAACCGCGGGTTTCGGCCGATTCTCTCGGATCCGGAGCCGACTGGTTTTCTCGGTTCTTACCCGCGGTTCCGAGGGGGCAAGTCAAATCATTCCCGGCGTCTAAACCACCATTGACATGCTCCAGAATGAGTAAAAATCCAGGCCGAGATGTTTTCGATGGCTGAATGTCTCTCTCATGCACGCTAACAAGGGAAGTATTCGAACTGACCCTCGCGATTGAGACGAGATAGCGCGGGATTTGTAGGTCGACCCGGGTTTTGAAAACCCCACATTACATCTCGCTAGGTAGACCCTCTGGACCGAATAATCAGGCCGCCTACATACCTATATTCGGGGGTCAGTTTATTCGGAATCGCGAGGGGCAGTTCTGGTCACTTCCCCTGTAGCCGCTCGACAGATGAGCGGGCTTGCTCTCGCTGCTGGCCGACGGGGACCGTACCGCGAATACGGAGACTGAACTCGGCAAATATACCTTTCTGATGGAATAAAATTAATTCGACTGAGTCCGTTGGGTCCGAAGAATGGGTAGGTTCAAAATTCTCGATCAGTTTCGCCAGGTATCAGTCCCAAATCAGAGGAGGAAAAATTCGGTTCTCTCCGGTTTCTACCCGCGGTTCCGACTCCACGGTTCTCGGGTACCCGAGAATCGCGGTTCTCGAAACTGGCGGGTATTTGGAACCCCTACTAACTACCACTCCCGTGGGATTACATGTGTCCCCCCGTATGGTAACAGACGGCGCGAAAGTCGCGCACTTGATATCGGTTCGAAAGTCGGAAAGAAACCCGAAGGAGCTCGTGTACGCTACCCAAAGATCGTCCCCGATCCCCCCTACTCCGTATATTTTCCCTGGTATCTACCCAGTAGCGTGTATAGGGGGGGAGCGAGGGGGCCATGCCCCCCCCCCCGAAATTCCGCCTTCGTACATTGCGGTCTACGGGGATCATCATCATGATTCTGCCCCCCAAAAACCTTGCTGGCCCCTCCCAAAAAAAAATCCTATATTCAGTGAAACCTGAGGTAAAGACCACCTGTATAATAAGACCACCTGAGTTATCAGACCACTTCGACCGGGCACCGATTGTTCCGGCCATAGAACCCTATGTATTCCCGACGCGCATTGAGACCACCTGAGTTACGAGACCAAAGACAAACCCCTTTCGGGAACCAAACTCGCACATCACCTGTGCTATCAGACCAATTTTCTCTCAACCATCCCTCCCGGTCAATGAATGCTGATTGTTGGAGATGAAGCTGATGCGTTCGAGTATAAGAAAAAGAGATCCACGTATGAGCACTAGCTCCCGACACTCCCGGCGCCGGCATCGACGTTGCGCCAAGACGTACGCGGGCACATTCGACATTTGCATGCACGCGTCGCTCGGCTGGCCCGGATTCAAATGGCGCTGTCGCATGGTATCAGGTGTATTCGCTCAACATCGAATGAGAATGCTCTAGTGGACCTTCTGACGCATTTGTGACGTTGGATACTGGAATTTCACGGTGTTGGAAGATGGGGAAGGCCCGCTGCGAGCTCCCGTTACAGCGCAAAATTGAAGTGATAAACGAGCTGCGACGAGGCTCCAGCCAGAGGGAAGTCGCCTCGAGATTTTCTGTAAGCAAAACTCAAATTCGAGGCATTGCCAAGAACCAGGATACTCTGCTCGAAGAATGGGCGAGTTTTTCCTCCGGGAAGACGTCAGATGCCAAAGCACAAAGACTCAGGTGAGCACGTCATGGATTGGTTCAGAAGAGTAACCGAGAAACGTTTCCCGGTTAGTGGAATGATGCTCAAGGAAAAGGCAAAACTCTTCGCGCTCGAGGCTGGCCTCGAAACATTCTCCGCAAGCAATAGTTGGCTTGAAAGCTTACGGAGAAGACACAACATTGTCTTCAAGACTCTCTGTGGTGAGGGAGGAGGCGTTGATGGAAGCGTTGTCAGTGATTGGACTCGGAGGCTGCCCGAGCTAATTAAAGGATACGAAGCC